ACATAAGTGCTAGTGTAATCCTTCAGTCAAAGACCAACTGAATCGGGAATACACCATAGTCTTTTTCCAAGTGGGGTCTCACTGCCAGTCTAGACTGTGAACGAATAGTTTAGTCTTATAAGGAACCGATAGGTGATCTTTCCGTTCGAAACTCTTCGAACCACACTATCTCAATATAAGACATGGAGTATGTATTGCATAAATAAATAAACTGCAAACATATGTACTTTGACCGAAACATGATTGCCAGATCAAAATGGAATTGATAGAAACTGCAAAACACAGCTTTTACAGCATACCTCTAACAGCATTGGAGTTAACAGAGCCCTCAGGCTCGACACTTTGATGAGAACACGGCCCAATATCGATTGTGTGGGCAGAGTCCGAACCCGAGTAGTCATCGATTTCACGGGCAAGAGAGTCGGAAATAGGATCGAAAACAGGGGCAGAGTTGTAATCTAAGTAAAGAGAGGAAAGGAAAACAGAGGAAGTGAATCAGAAGACGGAGAAAATCGTAACTACAGTTCGACTCTAGGAATAAGTCGCCAAAAGAATGAGAAAAACATGTAAATCGACTCAAAATAAGAATAAAAAAAAGGAAAGGTCGAGAAAAGCTCGTGAGGCATTTCTATTTCACTCGACTCGGCACAAGGACGACAGGTCAAGGGTAATCAACGAGAAGCAGGATTGGTTTTTCGCATCAAATCAGCTACTGAATGAAAAACACTTAAGAGAAATGAGAGATCTGTAATTAAAGATGTAACAAGGGAAAACCGCTAGAAACTCGTCCAAAAAATCCCAGAAAAAGCGACGAACAAACGAAGCCCCAAGCATGTTGCCCAGAAAAACAAAAAGAATTTATTTTGAGCACAGTAATAAATCAACAAGCAAAGAAAACTTACTCATACTCATGATGATTGACGTAAAAGTTCTGAAAAATCTGAGAAGAACGCCGGAATGAGAAAGGAACGCTGGAAAGCTTGAAGATGTTGTATTTGCCGGAGAGACAGAGAGTTCAGAAAGTTTGAGTACGAAAAGTGAAGACGAGAAAGGGGGAAGAATATTTATAGAGGAAGCAGAGAAACCCTGGCCCTCAGATTAAAGTCAGATTCAACGGTTGGTGCACGGAATACGAAGCGATGGAGAGAGAAAGCGTCTTATCAAAGCTTAAGACCTTATCTTTTGAATTTTGAAATTTGAAAAGATTCAGACTTATCCAATCAATTCGAAATCTGTTGAGTAGATAAGTCGCTTTACGAGTCGAAATAGCGAACGGGCATGACGTAGAGCAACGACAAGCGACAAGATATGTGAAAAGATTCGAGTGTGACATTCAGTCGTAAAAACTTACTCTTAAGCTCAGAATCGCTTCGAGTAATTTTTGGGAGGGACTAGATGATATAGCCATATTGTCGTATAACGGTTTATATGATCAGCGGTTCGGAAATAGCCGAGTCGACTTAGCCAAAGTCGACTCCCTTCGCAGACTGCTTATAATATCTCTGGTCAGGGGTCCAGGCACCCTTTGGTCGACTTCCACGTGTCGACTAGAACAAGTCGATTTCCTCGAAAAGAAAGATAAGCGCTTCAAGGTCTACCGACAACTGAAGATGACCCAGTCGACTCGAGTTGGTATCCCGAGTCGACTGAAGAAGTCCCGAAGCTTATAGTTCCCTGGCAATTCGATACACTTCAGCATATCATAGGGAAGCTGTCAAGGATAAGAAGGAAACTACCAAGGATAAGAAGGAATCTAAATGCTGACTAGGAGAGGGACGGAATGTGAACCGACCAGGGTATTTTGGACATTTCCAGTAAGTCGGCCAGGGCATCTTGAGAACTTCATGTAAATGTCTTGCTTCTATATAAAGGGGCTGAGGTAACCCCAAAACCCTAACTCCCATTCATTCCATACTCTCTTCCATTACTGCTGCTGCTCTCTGAGACCAGTTCTCTTCGTCTTTCTCACACACTGACTTGAGCGTCGGAGGCTCTACGCCGGAAACCCCTCCGGCGTTGAGTTCTTGCAGGTTTTCTTGTGGATCAGTAGCGGTTTGAAGGTGACAACGACAGATCCAAGCTCAAACCTCATCGGTTCGTCCTAGATCCGGGCCCTTTTCCACCGGTTCGGTCCAGATCTGGGAAGAGACCCATCAATCGTTATGGAATATATCTGACTAGTACAACGCCCGTGTATTACACGGGTGCTTGTTAATTTTTCCTTAAAATCTAAAATTAATGAAAAAAAAGTAGTTGAAAATTTAAATACCTCTTATTAATATATATATATATATTATTATATATTTAGTATGACACTTTTTATTTGTGTGACTTACTTGTGTTATATTATAATAATTTTTTAACTAACAACATATAACTACATTAAACATAAATATATCAACTGAGAAATAATTTTATTTTTCTAATAAATTTTAATAAATATTATTATTTTTTATTATTATAAAGATAAAGATAATTTATTTATTTTATATATACAATATGGATGTCAAATCGAAGATCATGAAAAGATGATTAATTTGATATGTTATATATATAAAATCGATAAGAAACACAAAAGTTATCATCTTTTAAAACACATTTATTAATTGAAGGAAACAAATCAAAAGTCAGGGATATATTAGTCACTTAGAATTACAAAGTATTTAAGTTAGCTAAATAATATTTATGGAATGTCCGAACCTAGATTATTAATTATTAATATATCAATATTATTTGTCCAAACCTAATTACGAAGCATGATATGATTCCGAAGCACCAGAAGCAGCCACGTAGGCTCAGCGCATTCGTGAATTATATACAGAGAGGATTATAACAAACTATTGTGATACTCGATTTCTTTTTAAAATTCAAATTGCAAATTATAAAAAGTAATTTACACGAAAATGGAATATGAATATATTTATATTAAATTAATTTGTGTAGTTATTTTAGTGATATTATATCTCTTTTTACAAATCTTATTGTTTATTCCTAAGAAGATTTACACGTAAATTGGTTATGAAGATCTTTTGTATATTGCTAATAAATCGGAAATGGAATAAATGTTAGAGTTCTTGTCATAGCAGATCTCTTAATACAAATTTTATTGTTTATTCATAAGAAGATTTACACGAAAATTGGGTATGGAGATCTTTATCTATCTCTGTAAATTGTTATCTCATTATTTTACCTAAATTGATTACGATCTAAAAAGTAACAAAATCCAAAGATTAAAAAGATTTACCAGAAATTGTTGTGATACTCGATTTTTTATACAATTCAAATTTTATATTACAATAAGTAATTTACAGGAAAAATTGACTATGAACATATTTATATTAAATTAATTCAAATAGGCATTTTATATTTTACGTTTAAATAAAAATTTGTTAAATCTAAATATTTTAAAAATGTTTTGATTTAAAAACGTAAAAATTGATTAGGAAGTTTGCATTATTAATTGTTTTCGCATACTTATCTCAATCTTGAACCCTTTTTATTCATATATAAATTAATTGTAAGTATTGATCGTTATGGAATATGTCAGATTTATCTCAATATTTTATACATTTATTGATAATGAACTTAAAAAGTGGTAAATTTGAATATTACTAAAATGTACACGAAACTAATAACAAAAAACTATTTTTTGTTTTTATTGAAATATCCAAAAAATCGATTATATTAAATCTCTCGCAAAATTGGTTAACAAAAAGGATAAATATGTTAAAACGCGTGAACTTAGCAAAAAATTGAAACGAAAAAATTGGCTTTACAAAAAGAAGATAAATGCAAAGGATCTTGAATGCTTTAAAATTTTGAAAAAGAATAGGAATAAATGAGAACTAAAAGTTCTCATTCTAAGACTAATTTCTCTCTCTAGAGTTAGGGTTTCTCGTTCTGGGATTAACTTTGTTTGATGCTTTCAAAGCCATTAATCTTCTATATTATCTGCAATTTCTACTCTCAATCGCCATAACCTAGTTCTTATGTTTTTCCGCTTAGCTTCTCCTTCTTCTTCTCAGGTGCTTTTACTTTTGGGGTGTTCTTGCAGGTTTGGGAAATCTCCTTCATCACTCTAGGCCGAGCTTTGAGTTCATGGAAACAGATCTAATTGAGAAGCTTCAGAAATTCGATTTATCGACCAAAGAAGATAATGGAGTTACCCTTTCTGATGATGACATATCCCCGGGTATCCAAGAATGCTCACGCAGTCTAATTGGCAAAATCCACGGAACCAAAAGAGCAAACTTCAATGGGCTCAGAGAAACTCTTTGCAATATCTGGAGGACCCAACAACCGTTCTCAATTCGTCTAGTCGGGTACAATCTATTCCAATTTGTCTTCCAATCTGAGGCTGATAAACATAAGGTTTTTTGGGCAAAACATGGAGTTTCGACGGCCAATACATAATTCTTAAGGAATGGTCTGCAAATCACATAAACTGGAATGATGAGGCAAAGGTTGATCTCTGGGTTCAAATCCACGGTCTTCCCCTTCATTGGATCACGGAGGACACTGGGCTTAAAATAGGTAAGCTATTCGCAAATGTCAAAGACGTGTTCGTCCCTGATTTTGGCAGCATTACTGGCCGGTGGATTAAAATCCTAGTGCAGATAGACCTCAATGAACATCTGCTCCGCGGCACTAAGATAAAGTTGGGCAGAGAACTAATTTGGGTTGATTTCCGATACGAAAATCTGCAGTCCTTCTGTTACTACTGCGGGTTGATTGGTCATAGTGAACGTGAATGTACTCGGAAAAAAGAGGACATCAAAGAGAATAAACGCAACCCAGGACAATTTGGCGACTGGCTCAAGGCTTCTACGGCCCTTTCCACACTCAACCGGACTAGATACTTGCCTGACAGGGTCTCACAAAAATCTAGTAGCTCAGACAAGCCTAGTGAAGCTGCAGAATCTAACAAAACACCCACACCCCCTTTGCATAACCCAGCTGTGAGACAATCTATACCCCATCAATCCCAAACCCCAAATACAGAACCTAACCAAAACAACAACTGCCCTGCTGCTGCCATTCAGCCTATGATTGTTGACCCTCACCCCACTATAACCCATTCTCCTCCAAATGACAGGTCTCTCTTTGAAGTCCAAATTGTTAATTCTTCACCAGCACTTAATCTAAACTTTGTTCCCATCAACCAACAAAACTTTGAGTCCACCAGTCACACACCCAAACCATCCAAACCAGGAAAAAAACCTCTAAAAACTTGCAAAATTTATAGAAAACCCTCCACAGCAGATGATCTTGTGGAAGTGCAGGTCTTAAACTTTTCTGAACAAACCAAACCTATCAATAAAAGGCCACTATCTACTCTTTCTGAACATGAAGAACCACAAGCCCCAAATTCCAAAAAAGCCAAACCCTCTCAACCCACCCCTTCAGAAATTGATAACAACCCATCTCAATCCAAATTGGTGGAGGCATCCAGCCATGACTGGGCCCATGTTTCTAAATGAATGTCGCGGTGTGGAATTGTAGAGGTCTAGGAGGGCCCTCTACAATCTCCCAGTTTAAAGAGTCCCTAAGGACTCACCTCCCCGATTTTTTCTTCCTTTCTGAAGTAAAAAAAAAAAAAACAAAAGTTTGTCCTTTCTGTCTGTACAAAGCTTAAGTTAGCTGGTAACTTGTTTTTTGAAGCCCCCATTGGTACTAAGGGTGGCCTCCTTTTGCTCTGGTCAGAAAAAATCTCTATCCATAATATTATCCATAACCACTTCTCTTTGCAAGTTTGCTTCTCTTTTGCCAACCATCCTGACCCTCTCTGGGCCATTTTTATTCAAGCCAGTACAGATGCAAACTTCAGACAAATTCAATGAGATTTTCTACAAAGCTGTAAACACACAAGGGGCAACAAGTGGATCTTAGGTGGAGACTTCAATGACATCACTTCCCATAGTGACAAGCGAGGGGGCATTCTCAGAACTGAAAACAGCTTCTCTTCATTTAGATCCTTCATTCATTCTATGGGCATGGCAGAAGCTCCCTTTACAGGATATCCACCTGGAATAATTGCAGACAAGAGGGGGACTTTTGAGGAAAGGCTAGATCGATTCTTCTCATCTCCAGACTGGCTTATAACCTTTCCTCAAACCAGCGCAAAGCACATCCCCATACTATCCTCTGACCACTCCTTGATTCTGTTGAGCACTAAGGAGGTACAACGCACCTCTAAGAAGAGGTTCTATTTCGACATGAGATGGGTAAAAGAGGATGGCTTCTCTTCAACTGTGGAAAGAGCTTGGAACAAAGAAATCTGATTTAGTGGCGATCTGTATGAAATCCAAGAAAGAATAAAAAATGTCAGAGTTGCACTACTACAGTGGAAATCCACTTCGCTGCCCAACTCCAGGAAAATTTTAGATTCCCTCAAGGCAAAGCTGGAAACTCTCAACCAGCAAGGATCATCAAGGAACTGGAATGACTGGAATGAGACCAAAAGGCTCCTTCACCTAGCCTATGCAGAAGAAGAAAAATACTGGGCCCAAAAGGCTAGAATAAGATGGCTAAAAGCAGGCGACAAAAATTCAAAATTTTTCCAAGCTTCGGTTACCCAAAGAAGAAAAACAAACAGCCTGGAAGGATTGATGACTACTTCAGGAAACTGTTGTTCTTCTACAGAGGAAATTCTTCAGGAAAGACATGTTCATTTTGCCAAACTCTACAAATAAAATCGGATTGCCTCTGATTAGTACAGCCTGGAGGGTATCAGCTGCTCCATTACTGATGATATGAACTCAAAGCTTGTAAGACCTGTGACAGTGGAGGAGCTCAAACAAGCCTTGTGGGAAATGCATCCACTAAAAGCTCCTGGAATCGACGGTATGTCTCCTGCCTTTTTTCAAACTTCTTGGAATATTATTCATCCCTCTCTTTTTGTAGCAGTACAATCTTTTTTCTTAACTGGTAAGCTCCCACCTCTATAAACAAAACAGCCATTACCCTCATCCCCAAGAAAAAAAGTTCGAAGTTTTTAAATGACTTCAGACCCATAAGCCTTTGCACAGTCTCCTACAAACTTATTTCTAAAATTCTGGCAAATAGACTCAAGCATACCCTTCATTCTTGCATCAGTTTTAACCAAGCTGCCTTTGTACCTGGCCGTCAACTCCTCGACAACTTCGTCATTGCAAATGAATGCATTCACCACCTTAATAACAGAAGATCTGGTAATTCTTGCTTTATGGCCCTAAAACTTGATATGATGAAAGCATTTGATAGTGTTGAATGGGCTTTCATTGCTGCTATCTGTACTAAAATGGGATTCTGTTCTCAATTTGTTTCCTGGATCATGACTTGTGTCACAACCACCTCATTCTCTTTTAACATACAAGGCCAACCTCTTGGCTATCTTAAACCTTCCAGGGGTTTGCGGCAAGGAGATCCTCTCTCCCCATACCTATTCATTATCATTTCTGAAGCTTTTTCCAACCTCATCAAACAGGCAGTTTTGTTCCATTCCTTCCAAGGCATGAAAATTAGCAAAAACTCACCTTCTGTCACCCATCTTTTCTTCGCAGATGATTCTATCATCTTTTGTAAAGCAGACAATCATCATGCTGTCCTCATTTCCCAAATTCTTAAACTCTATGGCCTAGACTCTAGGCAAAATGTCAACCTCTCTAAATCTTCAGTCTATTTCTCCAAAAATACCCCTTCTACTGTCATGGCTAACATCAGTCTAATCCTTGATGGCATTTCCACTGTTAAATCTTCCAGGTACCTTGGTCTTCCTTTAGGCCTCGGTTCCTCCAAAAATCCACCTTCAAATATGTTATTGATAATGTAAACTGCAGACTTAAATCTTGGAAAAACATTTCCTTAAGCGAAGCAGGAAAAGAAGTTCTTTTAAAGAGTGTTATAGGAGCCCTACCTACCTTTACCATGTCATGTTTCAAACTACCCCTATGTGTTTGTAAAGAACTCTGCAGGCTCCAGGCTGACTTTTGGTGGGGATCAAGTGAAGAAGGAGGGAAAAAAAATCCACTGGGCCTCTTGGCAAAAACTCGCAAGGCCAAAAGATAAAGGAGGTCTAGGCTTCAAATGCCTAATCTCTTTCAATCAGGCACTTATTTCAAAATAGTTATGGAGGCTTCTTAAACACCCTAATCTGCAGATGGCCAAGGTTCTCAAAGGAAAATACTATCACAATTGCTCTCTATGGGAAGCCAATCACAAGTCCTCAAACTCTTGGTTATGGAATACATGGCTAAAAGCAAGAAGCCTTCTGAAAAAAGGAGCCCTGCAGCATATTGGAGATGGCAACACCACTTCTATCTGGTCTGATCCCTGGCTCCTTGGTATCCAAAACAGGTCTCCATCTCCAAGCTTTATTTCTGACAGAAACAAATTGCATAAAGTGAGGGACCTACTGTGTGCCGATGGATCCACCTGGGACAAGGAATTGATTGAACAATCTTTCAGCCTAGAAGAAGCCAATCTCATCTTAAAGACACCTCTGTCCAGAACGGGACAAAAAGACTTGCTTCATTGGCAGCCACACAAGCACGGCCTCTTCACTGTCAAATCAGCATATTCCCTAAGTATTGAAACTACTCAGACTCCATCTTCAGCTCCAGAATCTAGTAAGTCTAATCTTCTCGAATCTAAAGTCTGGAAAAATACTTGGTCCCTGAAAATAAAGAACAAAATCAAGACTTTCTTATGGAGATGTTGGTTTAATTACATTGGCACTCAAGACCAGCTCATCCTCAAAGGAATCCCCCTTGATCCTATTTGCAAAATCTGCAGGGCAACTGAGGAATCTCTTGAGCATATTTTCTTCTCCTGTTCTCGGGCTGTTAATACTTGGAAGCTTGCAGGTGTGGATTGGACTAGCTTTCAACACTCGTCTCTGACCTTCAGAAGTTGGTGGACTGAAGTTTGCACCATGAAAAAAGCCACCACCTCCAATGACAGAACACACTTCTCCACGTATATCCTTTGGAGATTGTGGAAATGTAGGAACCTTTGGGTATTTAATAATATTTGGAAATCGGAAATGGAGATAGCCACCCAAGCCAGGAGAGAATGGGTGGAGTTTGAGGAGCTAGGCCTCCAATCTGTCTGATTTGGTTTTTCCTTCTTTTTTGATTTGGGAGTGGTTGCCAATTGCGGATGCTAAGCTAAGAACTCATGTTGTTCAGTGGCATAGCGCCCTCACGTGCTTCAACTTTGCAGCTGCTCTTTTTTTATCCTTCTTTTTGTTTTCTAGTTTGTTTATCTTTTTAGTTTTCTTGTCTTTTGGTTTTGTGGTTTTCCTTGTACATATTTTCTGGCTTATGTTTGTTTCAGTTTTTATGGGACTCTCCCCTTTCTCTCTTAGCTGCATGTTGACAGTTAAGCTTGGTGCCTGTGTGCACAGCCTCTGTAAATACTCTTTGAGTTTTATCTATATTCATTTCGTTTCGAAAAAAAAATGAGAACTAAAAGATTTGTGAACCGTACTACGGCAAGTAACAGATTTTTGGAATAATTTAAAACAAAAAGAAAATCAAGATAAAATTTAATAATTTTTGAATTTTTTTAATTAAGTTTCCACAATTGGTAAGTCAAAGCATTAGTTGACCAGTTTTTTAAAAGTTTCCACAAATGATTTATTTACCTCTCTTTTTCAATATATATAGATAGACTAGTACGACACCTGTGTATTACACGGGTGCTTGTTAAAAAATTATTCTTCAATTTTAAAATTAATGAGAAAACTAAATTAAATTTAGTTACAAAAAAATTATATTACTATATATTTTAGAATGATATGTGTTACTTATGACTTACATGTGTTATATTATATTAGTTGTCATAACTTATATCATATAACTACTTGAAATATAAATATATTAGTTGATAAATAATTTTATTGTTCTAATTAATATTAAAAATAATTTTATTATTGTTATAAAGATAAATATA